CCCGGGGAGAGCCGCGCTGCCGGTGCCCCGCCGACTGCAGCCCTGGGCACGGCCGGGGAAGGGAGTGAGCGGCCGCAGAAGCACGGGGGAGACTTGCCAGAACGCTTTTTTCGTACGCTGCTTCTCTGCATCTACTTGCTTGTCTGTTTCTTTAAAAAAGAGCTGTTAAACAGTTTCACTTGGTGCCCTGCCAGGCGCGGAGAGCTTTGCTTTGGCCCCAGACCCCGTTTCCGCAGGGTCGCAGAACGCGCTGTCGTGGCAATGTCGCTCGTGCACTTGCCCGGTGACATCCCTAAAAGAGGAAACGTTCCTCCCCTGCGCTGTGAAAAGCGGTGGAAGGTGGGTACGGTGTGCTGAATTCGCCGGATTTAAACAGTTGGAGGGGTAACATTTACCCGTTTAAAAAGGCATGTGTACTCATTCTCACACCGCGCTTCCGTGTGCAGGTATATTTACAGTTAGGGAAACTTGGCGAAAGGGGTTAGAAGGTTTTAAATGCACCATTTTAAGAGCCTTGCTTGAAAATTGTCTTTAATCAGAGCATGAGAAATCAGATGGCATCCAAGTGATCTAATTAAAACTTCTTGCTTTCGTTTCAGTCAACAACGTGGGCGTTTCATATGTTTATCCTGAATATTTTCTTGATGTTCCAGACCTGGATATGGTAAGTGCTTTTGTGGGACCTTCTAGCGTTCTCATTCTTAGCACTAAATGCTTTTTTTACATCATCTTCCCTGCTGCTTCTTTTTATATTTCTATTTCAGGCAGATGTGCTGGGGTCAGTGTCTGAATTCCACTCCTGTCCGTAGTCTCATCTGGCTGTTGTTCATGAGACGCTTTAGCTCGAGGGGGATTTCTTAAGTGACTGAAGGGAAGGGGAGCAAGCAACTTCATGAATGGAAGCTGCATATTCCATAACACTGTTATGAAACTTAAATTACGACTGCTTTAGTTTGTAATGTAAGGACAATCTTGGGTACATGGAAAACTCTGATTATGATCAATTTCACTGGTGCATGGTTTTGTTTCCAAGACCCCTGTAGCTCACTGTATCCACTGTGGTTTTGTGTTTTCTGCTTAAGTATTGGTAAATGTATCTGTCTCTTGGTTCACTTTCCAATAAGATTCGTAGTATTTAGAAAAAAAATACCATTTTAAAACCTGAGGAATAAACTTGAAGTCACTAAAACACTGCTATCAAAAGGTAAAGAATAAAATAGAAACCTTAATTTATGAACATGTCTGAAATATCAGAATTTATTGATGTTCATAAATATTGCAAGTAGTTTAAGGAAATAGAGTGTCCGTGTGATACAGCTGTGGTGTGCTGTATTAGTATGACTCCCTAATCATAAATAAAAGTTGACCAGAGCAATATACAGACTTCTCTTAGAAAGACTGTCACTATTCCTGATACTTAAGCAGGAAGGCAAAGGAGTAAAGGTGGATGTGTAGTGTAAAGTTTAATTTATCCTGGCACTTAAACTCAGAGGGTGGGTGAATATTGATCAAATAACTTAGATCAAAACCCAAAACTTTGTTTTCTTGCAGACAGTCGACAAAATGGTCAACATTAACATCATGTCTGTTTGTAAGGTAAGTGCCTCGTTACAGTTGTTCACGATATATTAGTTGAAAACAATTGACATTCAGTTGTCTGAAGCAATTACTATCACCTGTTGGACCACAGGTTCATTTTTCATCTTGGAATAACCCAGAGGTTATGACTGTCATATCAGACTGTTCTGATTGCAACAAATTACATTTCACACAAAGATACATATTAGCTAATTGGAAGAGCAAGGGTGTGTCCAAAAAACAGTCCTTGGTGCTTCTTCATGCTTATTGGTTTAGTCCTTCTTGTAAATCATTCATTCTTCTCCCCCTGTACTTGTTGTTTCTTGGGGTGGGCAATCTCTGCACGTCTAAGGTTTTTGTACACTCTGAGAAGGCACGTAATATTTTTCTGCAAAATGTATGAGCAAGAAAAAAAACCAAGTTCACAGAAGTGTGCATTAACTTTTGAAGTGAAGGTACCATTCCTTTTTGATATTGAAACATAAGTTTTCGCTGAGAAGAGATCAACCTGACTTCAGGCTAAAACATACGGCTGCTCCCTTGTTTCTTAACATGAAACCCATTCAAAAAATAAGATGTTCATTCTAGTATTTCAGAGTTTTTAAGGGGCAGAGAGAATAGCAGCTGCTTACATGTCTTGCTTATATGAAGAATCTCACTCCCTGTGATTATTCACTGTTATTCACCTTAACTTTCCCTTCTAACACATTACAAAAGTTGCATCTCTATTACCTGAGGGTTCATCTTTTGCTTGAAAGCCAAAATATTAGATGCTGGCTCAAAAGATTTGACTTTCTTGCAGCTGTTCTGATTATGTCAAGTACTAAATTCATCTAGTACCATGCTCTTGGGGCGTCTAAACTGTTCTGTTTCTGGGGGAAGAGACACAGGACCTCTCAAAACAATGCTTCTCTAAAATTTTCACACCTTATTAAAACACAGGCAAACAGTGAAAACGCAACCGTTGCGTGACTGAATGGGATTGTTAATGTCAGCTTGGTGCTGCTGTCTCACTTTGCGTGCTGTATTTGACATCTTAAAAAACTTGTTGCAAAGTTAGGAATGCTACAACAGTGAGCCTTGAGAAGCTGCTAGTGTGACGAGTACAGGCTCGGTTGGCAGAGAAGGATCGTGGCCCATGGTGTCCTGTTGCACTCGGAGATTTCATCAGAGAAGTCAGTTATTAAGGAGCACCTTTGAAGGTTTTCTCCTATGGGAGTAATTTTGCAGCCTTTTTTAAATGGTAAAATTGCTACCTGAGGTGTAAATCTGAAGAAATGCATTAAACTTCTTAGTTACAGAATAGTGTGATCAGATGTCTCTCCTAAAGTGTGAGATCTGTGCTGTGCCAGCAGAGGGAGTGCAATATTCAGTGATTAAAGAATTTGAGGTGTCAGTCTTCCTGGAAGCATTTTGTTAGAATAGAAAAGTTACAGATGAACTACTTTAATACATATTTCTGGAGATGGTAGGGTAGAATAATAGTTGAGGTCTACTTTTACTCCATATAAACCTAAAATTCCAGAGATGCAGCCAGATTATATTGGTTTCCAGAATAAACTAGCGCTGTTTTGTGGCTTGAGTCATCGTATTTATGATCAGTGGTGGTCAACAATTTAACAAAATCGTCATACAGTTTCTTGTAAAACTTGCATCCTGTCAGCCTCTTCACATTCTAATGTGGTTGTCTTCACACGTATAAAAACTTCCTGAAGATCGGCTTGCTGTGTGTTAGTGTTTTTCCTTCTGTTTGAAAACTTTTTTCTTGACTGTGAACAGCTCCTGCTACTGGGTATAATCAGAGTTTGAGCATAAGCTTCCAGGCTTGAAAATGTTTCCTCCTGCATAAGCCTGTTGTGTAATTAAACAGTAGGCATGCCAGATGCTTACTGTTTTGGGGAGAGGAGCACATTAGAGATATGTACCATCTGTAAGTCATTTTTTCAGGAGAACCCATAGAACTAGAGAATCATGATAGGAAAATATAATTTTAGGAACAGTCAGTATGTCCTTTCACTTAGATTTTTTTTTTTTGGGGGGATGTAATCCATTGAATATTTAGTTCACTATTTTAGGCTGATACCATCTCTTATCCAGGCATATGTGTGTTTAAAAAACCAACAATATTCTCCCTTCTTGCCTGATTAAAAATGTGAATGTGGGGATGGAAGAGAGCACAGAGTTCTTAAGCAAGAACGTAAGGGTCTGCTGAAAAGGTAAAGGTAAAGGAGAGGCAGACCAGGTCTTGCTAGTACTGATTCAGTCTCTGCTCACAGTATCTCCAGATCCCCATCAGAGGTGTCACATGACCTGTCTAGTATTGTCTTCTGGAGCATTGCCATCCTCTTCCTTGCCTTTTGGACCAAACTTCCTCAGTGCTTAAAAGATAATGACCCCCCCCTGTCTTCTCAGTAACCTGCAGCATGGACCATCAGCAACACCTATGTTAGCCAGCATAAGTCCTCTGGCACACGTCAAATACCTCCACTTCAGTTCTGGCTGAAACGCTCCTTAGGCTTGAAGTGGGAAAGTCCAGACCTTCGGCACAGGTTGATTCTGCAGAGACAGTAAAGTCTGTTTTGTTGCCACAGGTCTAGGCACTTTCGAAGGGTGATGCTCATCCCTTACTGTTTGACACATCTACTTCTTTGTTGGGCACCTCATTGGATATCCTAGGGGATACGCAGCATGTAAGAAGGGGTGCACTGAGAAATAAGACCCCATCTTCACCTCACAGGATAAATTATCGGCCTAGTTGGTCATGATGTTTAATATTTTTCCTAACTGTAAAGGATCTAATACTCTAAAATTTTCCCTAATGTTTGAGAATTTGTTTCCTGTCAAAGCTCTTAAACGTGTCTTTCCCAAATCCTTTTCCATGCTGCCAGCCCCCATCATGTCCTTAGAGCACTGTTGGGTTATGTCACCCATGAACCCCACAGTGATGCAATTTTTGGGGTCAGTCTGACATAAAGCATAATTACTGTGATCTGCCTTCGAAGCCCCCTTTACACCACGGAAGACAAGCTGCATAAAACTATGCAAAGTATGTTGGAAATCTCACATCTTGGAAAATACTAGTAAAAAAACGTGACCAAAGACCACCCAGCCTCCACAGCCACAGTATATTCCTTTTAAGCTCTCTGGGAAATGTGGCATTTTTATTTTGATGTGCAGTGCAGGAGTTCCTCCGTTCTTCATACACAAAACAAGGAGTGCCTTGGGTCTTGATGATGCCATAAATAGAATGAAGAATTTTTGTTTGTGGTATTTTCTCAGGAAAACTTGAGACAATACAGCCTGATACAAGAATTGATAGGTAGGTAAGTGAGTTGATAGATAAATGAGGAAGAAAACAGAGTATATGTGACGTTTCATGGTTCCTGTCATACTCTCATGTCAAGCTTCTGGAGGCATTTAAAAAGCAGAACTTTAATGGTTGTGGGTGGCAGTTCAGGTAGCATGAGTTTGTATTATAATTTTTTGATAGCTTATTGCATTTTGAGATGCAAACATTTTGGACACTGATTAAAATATCTGGTGAAAAGCCTTGTGTTTTTTCACTAACCAGTAAGTGTTGAAGAGCCAAAATTATAGTTGCTTTGTATAGTTTTCATCTATAGTTCCTCTGTATCCACTGCATCTTCCTTGTGTTAATTCACCTTTTTATGCCACAGCCTTTGATTTCACTTGAAAAATGATTAAACCTGATTTGGCTGTTGGGTTAATGTCCTGAAAGCCAAGACCAGATGCTAGACTTGCTGTCCAGTGGAAAAATGGGTAGGTAATGAGAATACAGAATAGTTTCACATACTTCAGGGAGCCCTTCTTTCTCCTTTGGAGGCTGCAAGAGACACTTTGTATTGTAAGGAACAGCAAGGAACGTTGTTCCTGTTTGCAGCATCGCAATGTGCTAATTGCATTGGGAGCGAGGCATAAACTTGTGTTCTCTTGAAAAATGAGTAGGACTAAATAGTTGAAGGAGCGCTGGCTTAGCGGTTGATTAAGCAAGGAGCTGAATTGGTTTGCAAGCTATTATGTTGTGGGGGAATATAAATTTTAGGTTTGCAGGCCAGGCCTCGGTTGGAAATTGGCATTAACAGAGGGTGGGGGAGAGTAAATTACATGTATGTACATGCCTTGGCCTCTGTGCTAATCTTCACCTTGATCACCTTACTTATATTTTATACCGAGCGTCAAATACAAAGGGATAATAGGTCTACAAGATCGAGGATTTTTATCATCACCATATTTGAGAAGCTTATAATTTACTTACGCCTTCAAAATACGTAAATACTTTGTGTTGAAGTGGGAGGTCTGGTGTCAGCTGCCCTCTTAGTGGAAGAGGAGCAAGAGGTGAATTATACCAGGTCGTAAATCCCAGGCAGGACAGACCTCTACCTATGAAGTCTGAAGCTGATTTTATGGAAAAAAAACCCCAAACCAACCCAACAACAAAACCCAGAACAGATATGTACTTGAAAGGGGGAGAAGAAGCTAGTGTGTCTAAGAAAGAGGGGGAATATTCTTTTGCGGACCTGTGCATAGAAAGGAGAAAAGCCTGGGGGAGCAGTATAATCCTGAAAGACAGTAGGAAATGACATCTCTCTCTCCCATGAGTGTTCAAATGGGGTAGTGCAGCCTAATAGGGTGTCTGTGAGGGTACCTTACCAGAAATCAGATGGTAGTTTCTTGTGCCCTGCTACAACCCTATGTGAATTTTTGTATTTGCTGTGCATTGGAGAGGATCACAGTAAGTGGAACATAATTCTGAGGGAAGTGGCAACACTGACTTGTGAGATCACTCTGTGTGTGTATTCCAGTCTAGCCAAGAGGTTTCTTTACATTTATATTCAAAGTCATAATCAAAGGGGGGATGATGATTTAGCCAAGTACATAATATAAGAGAGGGACATTTGCCAACGCTTGGAAGAGGAGCAAGTGTTCTGTGAAGGTGGTCATGAAGAGCATTCAAATGGTCCAGAGGGAGAAATTAAATGCTGCGGTTTCCCACCTTG